TTAGAGTTGAAAAACGAGCAAGAAAAATCGTCAAACACCTAGGGAAAGGGGTGGGGAGTCGCGCTAGTCAGCGTGCCCCAAAGAGTTCTCTGAGGTTTCACCCTTGGTGCGCCGCGCCAGCCAGCGCTCCCCAGGATAGGCTCTGAAGTTTTCCCTATGGCGCCCCGTGACTCTCAGAGTGCCAGGGACGCCAGTTTTTCCCATTTCTTCCCCAACCTTCTGTACTAGTTCCTTAGCAATGCACCTATGTTTTCTAGTTGATTCCAATACTCTTAGGTACATCTAAACATCAGGAAATCATCCATAAACATGAGATCATGAATCTAAATCCATAATTCAATTTAAGGAAATTTAAGAGTCAAGTCTAGAAGTTAAGAAGCAAGTCAAGAGAAGTTTATAAAGTTTTCAAAAGTCCTTCACAAATATTTTAACTTTGTTTTAAGACTTAAGTTTCGAGTTAAGCAAAGAGTAAAAGAGTTGAGTTCATTGCTCCAAAAGCTATAAGGGAACTAAGTATTCCCAAGAGTTTAAAATATTTTCGCATTTGAACAAGAAAGGGAAACACCGATTTCCAAGAGAGCTTTTAAGTTAAAGTTTTGAGTAATTATCTCAAACCAAAGAAAGAAGTTTTGTTTTAAAACATATGAGCTAAGTATATTTTGGGTGTAGTATTGAGCACCGATATGGGGATGCGAGTTCATATTAATTCAAGTCTCCATAAACCATGTAGCCATCATGGGTAGTAAAGGATCATACTTTTTAGATGACTCCTTAAGTGATTTTTAGCATAGACTAGTGGATCCACTTAATTAAGGTGTTCTATATGACGGCAAAGTATAAGACAGTTCTGGCAGCGTGGGCAAGACGTTGTATCACCACTTAGGCTCATAGTGGTGGTTGTCGGTTAGAGAAACTCCCGCAGAAACTATATTACTTTATTACATGAGTAAAGTTGAGTTTGTTATTGCATTTCTTTAACGAACTGAGTTGCTTTCTACTGTTTTAAAAGCTTTCTATATATTGCATGTGTTTTATTGCTTTATATTGAGTTAAGTTGTTCTTGAGTAAAGCCAAGGTAAGTGTTCCTTTCAGATTCTTTTCAAGCCTATGTTATGTTTAGCATTCCAACTCGCATACTTGTACATTCAATGTACTGATGCCAGTTGGCCTGCATCATCTTATGATGCAGACGCAGGTAACCAAGTTCAGCATCCAGCGCCTCGTTGATCAGGTTGAGCACTCAGAGTCAGTTGGTGAGCCTCCTTGCTTTTCGGAGGGTCTTTTTCATAATTGTTTAGCTTTCAGTTGTTAGGATGATCGAGGGTCCTGTCCCGACATCCCTCTTTATTTTAGAGGCTTCATAGACAGTTAGTAGTCAGTTGTCTTTACATTATTATTTCATATGTTAAGAGTTGAGTTGCCATTTTGTCCAAGTTGAATGTTTGACCTTTAAACATTCTTAGTAATTTTATTAAACAGTTGAGTAAAGTGCATTTGATCATTGTAATAATGCTTAGAGTCTTTCGTTGAGTAAGTAAGTCAGGCCAAGGGTTCGCTTGGGGCCATCAATGGTTTTCGAGTGCTAGCCACGTCCGGGGTGTAGGCTCGGGGCGTGACAATATATTCATCAAATAAGTCAATATCAAATGCTCACTGCTATATCTAGTATACATATGAATAGATACATACTTAGAGAACGAAGAAGAAGAAGAAGAAAGATATAGTTGTCCAGATACATGTATTTGTGCATAGATACATTTTATGTGGTATGATTGTGATGATCAAAAGGGTGGTAGTAGAGTGGTCAGTACTTCTTCATCATTAACTAGATGCTTTGCGTTCGAGTTCTTGTGGGTGTGGATCCCCCTTTATTAGAGAGCGTTTTACCTACCAATGCGAGACTTTCTGGCGTGAATCTGGATTTAGTTCAGCCCCAATGTGGATATCAGACACCGGATGGAAAGTCAATAAAAGAAGTTGTAATTAAGAATTCCCTCTGTTTTAATTTGTTTGTCCTACTTTCCTATTAGTTCGTTTAATAAAAAAACTTTTTTGGCAACTCTTTAATTCTAATTTTTCATGTGACATGTTAAACACCACAAGATTAAACGACATTTTGGTACATCCTACATATTTTTAGTTTACGATAACAATATTCTTCCTTACTTTTTTAAATTTCACGTCAAATTAAAATCAAACAAATAAATTAAAACAAAGGGAATAAGTGATTTGATTGTATATTTTTGACATTCTTAATGTATTAAATTATTAATTAAACTTAATAAATGGAAAGGAAATAAAAAGAAGTACGTTACTCATGATTGTGTTGGTACGCCCACAGATAATCTTTCTACAAAATCAAGGACTTCTTTTTTATAGCACAACTTTTTTAATTTCACACATTCTTTGATAGGAATGGACAAATGTAATTTAGGCAAAACCTCCTTAGCTAAGTAAACCTTTCTTTTGGTCCAACACTCTACCACCTCTTTGAGTTTTGAAAGCTACATGACACTTGAATCTATCCACAAGTTGCATATAAAAATACAATTGTATTTCTACAAGTATATTCTTTTTATGGCCTACTTTATTTTTTTGAAAATTATGTGATTTGATTAAAATTATCCTATATAGTTATGTATAAAAGGGCCTTATCTAGAAGCCAGACCTAAATTTGTACGTATGTGGCTTGTGCAAGGGCAGAGCTAAGAGGGCGGGCAACTGTTTATTTGAATCTTTTCATCCAAAAATTTATAATCGTTAAATTAGTTAATATTTTGGTCTGAAAATGCTTTATTTTCAAAAGTTTGATCCAAAATATCCATATTGTTAATAATTTGGTTCGGAAAATTTCCTTAATTTAATGGTTCAAAAATTGCATTTTCATAAATATTAGTTTTTTTAAAACATATTCTATTACTAATAAATATTACTATTGAAGAACTCAATTCTTATTTCTTTTTTTCTTTCTTAATCTCATTTTAACAATTGAAATAAGTTATATAAGAATAACTCTGTGTACATCCATTGATCGTAGTACTCTAGGATTCGAGTTAAAGTTTTCTTATTGAGTAATGTTTTGCCTTTGTAACCTATCTCTTACATTTGGATTTTGTCCCAAACAATAGTATAACACATTTATATCCTTGTGCTCCAAACTTTCCTTATTTACTAACTCTTTGTTTTATAGCATTCGTTCTCGGACCAAAGCTCTTATGCTTCATATGGCTTTACTTTATTCACATTATTATTTTCATCTGGACCTTTTGCACTTATTAGTTATTAATTGCTATTATCATATTTTTAAGTAGGGGTGTTCAAAATTAAACCGTAACCGATAAGCCAATCATAAAATTGACTTATTGATATTTTGTTATTGAATAAACGGTTGGTGAACGGATTAAAATTTTATAATTAATGGCTAATTGGTATGAGGGCGAATTATTCAATTTTCTTATCAGATAAACCGTTAACCCGTTAAGAATTACCATACTTACACTTTAACTTAGGTATACTAGCATAATTTAATATGTTTTCATAATATATAATTATATATTGTTAGAGCCTCTTTGGCATTGCTGCTATAAACAACTTATTTTTAGAAGCATTTTTTAAAAATGACTTTTTAGAAAAATATTTTTGAAAAATAATAATTTGTGGTTGGGTAATTCATTTGAAAAGTGTTTTTCAAGCAAAATGCATTTGGATGATCTTTAAAAAAAAAGTGTTTTTGAGAGTCAAATTACAAAAAAGGTCAACTATTAATGTACTTTTAATATTAAAATTATTTTATGGAGAGAAATTATTTTAAATATCTATTTTAAAAATATTGATTAAATATTATTTTTATTATATTAAAGTGTACATGTTTAGATTTTCAATCAATATTATACATTTTTTTGGGGAGGCTGAAATCTTTAATTGTTATTTTTTTCTTTTTTCTAATCTTGTAAAAATATTGTTGTTACCAATTATACTTAATTTTTCAGCAAAAAGTTTTTTTTTTTTTTCAAAATAAGTGTTTCTGGCATCCCAACAACAATGTCAAATAGACTCTTAGTCCTAAGGCCATAAAGCAAAAAACTTGAAAACCTATTTACTTTTCTGTTATTAACTATTACATTACTATTATTATCTATACTTTTTGTAATATAAAACAATTTTATAATTTAACTACATTTAAAATAGTGAAAAAAGTCATTTTTTAAGGTGCACTTATGGAAAAAAAAAGGTAGAGGTTAGCCGATACACAGTATGATAAGTGCTAATCTGTTATCGAACCAACCGATATCTTATAGATTGGCTAGCGGATAAGTAAATTTAAAAATAGATATCCATCGACCATTAGGCCAAACTGTTAAGCGAAATTATCCACCTGATTCATCCGATAAGTAGCTTTATTTTCAAGTACTCTAATAATTGAATTATTGAACAAGTTAAGCTAAGATGTGTGTCCTTAATCTCATACAAATTCAATTATACCATTTTTCCTATATACATTATTCACGATAGATCGCTGTTAAATAATTTAACCCTCATATTTCAAAAATCATATCACATAAAATAGAATAGAAATAAATCAAATCACTTTGAAAATATGTTACTGAACTTTAATAGATCAATATGACTTTAAAACATTGAACAGGACAATTTTTTAAAACTCTTCAAAGAGTTATGTTCAATATAATATTCATTTCCTCTTTACATATTAGCAATATAAATATTTCTAGTTGGAATTGGTCAAAAAGTTAGTTCCCTACTCAAAGGTGAGGCAAATTTACAAAATTGATGAATGACAATGACCTAATAAAATAAAACTCTCCTAAAGCTATGGACCACCATGGTTAATAATTGAGCCAATAAAATATTGAAATCTAAAATTAAAAAATATCCTTGGACCCTTCCTCAATTATAGTCACTTTAACTTAACATTAAAGTTGCTCTACATGCCAAAATCCCCCTATATATACCATAAACTAATTTTACATTCATCATTCCCACAAATCAATTCACATATTTCTCTCTAAATCTCTTTCTCTCTCCTTATAAAACACCAAATCTAGCCTTATATCAAAATAGAAAAAATAATATTACATGAGAGATGGCTGAACAAAATTTACCAGTAATAGCAAAGAAGTTTTGGAACATTGTACGTATTGCATTTTTCATGTTGAGGAAAGGCATATCAAAGCGAAAACTAATGCTCGATCTCAACTTAATTATGAAGCGTGGCAAAATCGTTAGTAAAGCCGCTATACAAAATCTCATGTTCCACCACATGACTCACCAATTTTCGTTCGCGTTCACAACTCACCGTAGCGGTCGTGATAAAAATTTACCCTTCTCTCCTCAACACAACGAGTATGAATTCAGTTGTAGCAACACCCTGAATTTCCAACTCCCTTCCTTCAACTTCAACAAGAAAAACAAAAATAAATATTTTTTTTCAAAGTCGCAGTCCCAGGCATATGATATGTCTGGGACCGCGACTCATGAGGATGATGTGATTGTTGTGAATGCGGCCGTGATGAAAGCGCTAGAGATGATTCATGAGAGTGAAACGGCTTCCCCCGGGGCAAACTACTTGCCCGGGTTCGGAAGGACACCTATGGTTAGGCAACTACGAGTCACTGACTCACCGTTTCCACTAAACGCGGAAGGAGATAGCCACGTGGATGAGGCGGCTGAAGCCTTCATTTCCAAGTTTTACCGAAATCTGAGGTGGCAAGCCTCGCCGTGTGCTTAATAGTATATTCGATCGAGGGGTTTTAATGCATGCATAATATATATAATATAATTATATATAAGTATGAAGATTGGGAGCTGTGAATAGTGTACGTGCAGCTTGTTTGCATGTACATATATATGATTTCCGTTCTCTCTTCAAGTTTTTTTTTTCTTCTTTTTTTGGGGGTATTTTGGGAATTTACATAAAAGAAAATAATATGATTAGTATTTAAATGAAATGTAATCTTCCCTTTTTTTTCCTCTAATACTCTCTTAGTTTGTTTTTACTTGTTTATTTTGGATTTTGTAAGCTCCATAAAAAATAATAATTGATATGGAGATTTTACTATCTTACCATATGTTTTATGTTACTAAACCAAAAATGATTTTGAGCGGTAATTAATTAATGACAATAACTTAATTATCGCTAAATATGTTATGTAGTGGCAATTAACATTCTTTATAAATGTTCCTAAAGTTTATAGACTATAGCGACATTGGACCTAAGACATTTAATAATGTTGGTAAGATTTTAACACTCTTTATGAATGTGCATATTTATTGTCGCTAAAAAAAAAATTAATTTTTTTTTTATTGCAGTGTGTTTAGTATTAGATATGAGAAAAAAAAATTGGAAGAAAACTAAGTAATCAATGTTAAGTAAAACATTGAAAAAAAATAATCATCTTTTGTTGATATGTTGAAAGTGACAAGTAAATAACGAAAATTTATTTTTAAAATAGTGGGCAAATAAAATTTCCTTTTATTTTGAGGCAATAAATTCCCTTTTTTCTTCTTTTTGTCTTTATTCGTTTCTTGAGTACTGCCTCCTTTATTTTTATTGAAAATAGGGAAAGAAAAAGGTTGTAAAAGAAGGTACACTATTCTTAATAATTACTCTCTTTTTCATTTTTTATGTGATATTATTTGGCTTATTATACTATTTAATAAAGAAAATAATTTTTTTTAAACTCCTAATTTGTATCAATATGTATAATATATAATTTTATTAACTATAATTATTTAAATATTTGTGCTCTTTAACCACTTGACTGTAAAACTTCGAACTAAGACTATAATGGAAAAAAATATTTAAATTAATTCTGATTTTAAAAAGAATTTTTTTTTTTTTTTAAAAAAAAACAAACTGAAAAGGAGACACGAAAACTATAAGAGAAAGAGTGATAAAAGTTACTAGTAATGGAAAAACTAATAAACCATCAAAGTAGAAATGAAGGTATAACTATGTACTACTTAATTCCTTTGAGCTCAGTCGCTCACCATAATTAGGTATTAAAAAATATGTCTGGTATAAACACTTGATGAGAATAATTTTTTTTATTGTGCATTTCGTAATTACCTTGTTTATTAAACCTCATATGTTCATGGTGTTTTAATAACTGATCTTTATGAGTTTCAGGAAAAAATCATTTTATACTAGGTTTAAACAAATAATAGGAAAATGGTCTGAAAATATTCTAATTTTGGCCGAAATTGCTGGTACGATATCAAACTTTATGAATGACCTTTTGCCTCTTGCACTATTTAATAGTGTATTTTAAAGGTATATATGTGTCCACATGGACACGTTACTATTTATAATGATGCAATATTTATGATGTCCGTGTGGACACATATATACTTTTATAATACACTATTAAATAGTGCATGGGGGTAAAAGGTTATTTCCAAAGTTCGGTATTGTTATAGCAATTTCGATCAAAGTTCGGATATATTTCAACATTTTTCCCTAAATAACGCAAAGAAACTTATCATGATTATAAACCCTGGTCGTAACAAAGAAACTTGAAGTATTTTCTTTATCTCGATTTATATGATTTTTTTAAATCAACGTCAGAAAGAACGACATATTTTTGTATTTTATTTTTAATTAAATGATTTATACTCACCCATTTATTTTAATCCATAAATTTCAAAAGTCTTTTTTCAAAAAAATTTTAATGTCAAGTTGAATAACATCACATAAATTAAAATGAAAAGAATACCGATTTAGAATTGACCAAAAACTAACGCACTAATGTAGCAAAATTGACCGATGTGATTCCACTAATTTCAAAAGCAAAATAGTCCCTTCTCTTCGATTTTTGTTTGATAATTCTCTTTTTTTTTTTAACCTTTAAATAAAGTTATTTATAGTGTTTTGTAAAGCAACTCCATTGATTTTTTGGGTTGGTGGTCTACTTGGACCATACACATACACAAAATCATAACTATTTCAATAATTGCACTATTTATTTTCCTTCAGTTTTTTGAGAAAATTATTTGATGTGCTTTTATACTAATTTTTTTGTTTTAATTTGTTTATTGTATTTTTTTAAATTTGTATAGAAAAGAAGGATCTCTTTCATTTTGATAATTTTTTAATTCTAAACTGTTCACATGACATGTTTAAGACTACAAGATTAAATAGTATTTTGATACATTCAATATATTTTTAGTTTAAGATAACAAAATTCAAAAGTCTTTATACCTTTTTAAACTTCGTATCAAGTCAAAATCAAACAAACAACTTAAAATGAGGAGAGTATATACTTCCTACATCTTCATTTATGTGACTTAATGAGATGATTTATATATTACTATATTATAGAAAAGTCTAGGAATGACTACCAATGTTCCAATAAGATCACTACTAATGTCCAATATATTTATAAAATATATAAGTGGGCCTCACCACCTTCCACTTAAATACTACATATTATATATTATTAATTACTATACTATAAATCACTACTAATATCCAATATATTTATCAAACTATATAAGTGGGCCCCATCATCTTCCACTTAAATACTACATATTATATATTAATTACTATACTATAAATGACTTAAATACTCCATATTATCTATTACAATAATTAACAATTATTTGACACTTTAAATTCTATCAATGCCATATAAATAAGGATAAAAAACCTAACATATAATATTTAAATATATTTAAAAATAATATAAGTAATACTACACATTACAATAATTAACAACTTAATTATTTAAAACTTATATAAAAAATTTAATTGACTCTCTAAATTCTATTGATACCACATAAAATGGTTTATATAATAAACATATATTGTTTGAAATTGACGAAAAAGAAACAATAAATTACAATAATTAATAAAAAAATAGTCCACTCCAAAAAATCTATCAATTAACAACATATATTGTTTGAAATTGACGAAAAAAAGAAACTATAAATTACAATAATTAACAAAATAAATCTCTTGACTCCAACAAATCTATCAATTAATGCCACATAAATTGGGACATGGCAAATAACATTTATTATTAAAAAATTAGGTTCAAAATGTACTATAAAATACAATAATTAACAACTTAATATATTAAAGAGACATATAAAAAAGGGTTAATATTTGAAATTCTGCTTCTGCCACATAAATTAGAACAAAGAGAGTGATAAATATTATTTTCAAAATTATGTTAAAAAAAAGTACTACAAATCACAATAGCTAAAAATTTAAAATATTTTTAAAATCATATAAAAATTTCAATAACTTCTCAAATTCCATAATATGACATAAATTTTAAAAAAAGTGTTATAAATCATAATAAATAGTACAATATTTAAACTACTTTAAAAGCATTATAAATTGTAATAAATAATACAACAATTTAAATTACTTAAAATTTAACGACTTAATTTATTTTTTTAAATGTATTAAAATTTTGGTTAATTGTCAAAACTTTACATGTGCCACATAAATTGGGACATGGACAGTCACACATATTTTTTTAAAAAAATTACATTAAAAGTATTCTATCAATTAACAACATATATTGTTTGAAATTGACGAAAAAAAAACTATAAATTACAATAATTAACAAATTAAATCTCTCGACTCCAACAAATCTATCAATTAATGCCACATAAATTGGGACATGGCAAATAACATATATTATTAAAAAATTAGGTTCAAAATGTACTATAAAATACAATAATTAACAAATTAAATCTCTCGACTCCAACAAATCTATCAATTAATGCCACATAAATTGGGACATGGCAAATAACATATATTATTAAAAAATTAGGTTCAAAATGTACTATAAAATACAATAATTAACAACTTAATATATTAAAGAGACATATAAAAAACGGTTAATATTTGAAATTCTTCATGTGCCACATAAATTAGAACAAACAGAGTAATAAATATTATTTTCAAAACTATGTAAAAAAAAAAGTACTACAAATCACAATAGCTAACAATTTAAAATATTTTAAAAATCATATAAAAATTTCAATAACTTCTAAAATTCCATAATATAACACTTAAATACTACATATTATATATTAATTACTATACTTTGACACTTTAAATTGTATCAATGCCATATAAATTAGGATAAAAAATAGAATTCGTATTTATGGAATTCGTATCAAATTAGGAGGAGAACAAGCAAAAATTTATTTTGTGATTTGAAAAGAGAGAAAATTAGATATTATTTCTTTCAACCTCATTATTCTTCTAATTTCTTTCTTCTTTTATTTTGTCTTGATTTTTTGTATCTTTAATTAAAGTTTTTTTTCTTATTTATCTTTAATTAAAGTTTATATATATTTTCTTAAAAAAGAATTTAAAAAGATGATCATATTTAGTTCCTTTCCTCATCAATGCTATTAATCTCATAATTAGTGTTATTTATATTATTTTCTTAATTACTTTTTTTTCTTTCATTTAATTATTTATTTGAAGAAATTAGTTATTATAACTTTATAAGAATTACACATGTATTTTTACATAATTGATTTGTTATTTTTAAAATTTTTGGATCATTCTTCATCTTAAAGTTTCTATCTATATGTAATAATAAAGCTAAAATAGAAAATGTGGGGTGACGCCTTCTTAGCAATAGATACTTATTTATTCTGATCAATGTTTCTGACATTTTTTGTTATTTTTTCCTTAAAATAATTGTTGCCTCGATTTTTAGTTTTACTTTTATTTTTTTAGCATTTTTTAATTTTAAAAGACTGAAAAATTTATATTGAAAATTTACAAAATATAAAAAATGACTTATTTAACTCCTATCATCATCAATATTATTATTAATTTGTTTTACTTCTTTTCTTAATCTTCATTTCATCATTAATGTAATTTATATCATTTTCTTAGATATATATATATATTTGTGACATTTCTTAGAAGTTAGGATTACTATTTATTTAATTTTTAAAATTTTTGAATTCTTTTGTCATACTAAATACAACATGTTTTATTATAATTACATTTAATATATTAATCAATATGTTGTACGAATGAAAAGAAAATTATCATTTCACAAAAACAAAGGTTAAAATAGAAT